ATTTCCGAAGACCAAAGTCCGACCGCCATCATCTTCATTCACCATTCTGCCCTTAGCCATCTAGAAAGAGAGAGCGGCTGTGATCCTGGTTCAGGCCCAGGCGCGTGCCCTGTATGGGTTCCTGGGTGCCCGGAACCCCCTTTTTTCGCTCATAATGGAGGATTTTGCTTCATTTTTTGAAAATGTTCACGGACAGCCACCCCCCCCCCCCAAACCCCCCTTGAACGCCACCGGCGCACGCACCTGGGCCTACAATGGGAGTGTGCAGTTAAGGAGCTCATCGGCGTTCTGTGCAAAGTTTTGGCTCGTCTGAGTTTGTCACGGAGAAAGTTACATGCAGCATCCTGTTGCTTAGACATCCCTACGGCAGAGGGTGGTGACATCCCTACGGCAGAGGGTGGTGACATCTCTACGGCAGAGGGTGGTGACATCCCTACGGCAGAGGGTGGTGACATCCCTACGGCAGAGGGTGGTGACATCCCTACGGCAGAGGGTGGTGACATCCCTACGGCAGAGGGTGGTGACATCCCTACGGCAGAGGGTGGTGACATCCCTACGGCAGACGGTGGTGACATCCCTACGGCAGAGGGTGGTGACATCCCTACGGCAGAGGGTGGTGACATCCCTACGGCAGAGGGTGGTGACATCCCTACGGCAGAGGGTGGTGACATCCCTACGGCAGAGGGTGGTGACATCCCTACGGCAGAGGGTAGTGACATCCCTACGGCAGAGGGTGGTGACATCCCTACGGCAGAGGGTGGTGACATCCCTACGGCAGAGGGTGGTGACATCCCTACGGCAGAGGGTGGTGACATCCCTACGGCAGAGGGTGGTGACATCCCTACGGCAGAGGGTGGTGACATCCCTACGGCAGAGGGTGGTGACATCCCTACGGCAGAGGGTGGTGACATCCCTACGGCAGAGGGTGGTGACATCCCTACGGCAGAGGGTGGTGACATCCCTACGGCAGAGGGTGGTGACATCCCTACGGCAGAGGGTGGTGACATCCCTACGGCAGAGGGTGGTGACATCCCTACGGCAGCGGAAAATCCGGCCTCCAGCCCAGTCTAACGTGAGCCGTGATTTCTTTGATTTTTCCCCAGGTATTGCACTTAGGTTTTTGTGACAACAGCTTTCCCATTGGCCACAACAATTCCTGAGCTTTCCCATTGGCCACATCAATGCATACTGTACGCAGCACAGGCAGTGTTTTCGTTGGTGCTGAAGGTTGCGCGAGCTGACAAACAGGTGTTCTTTGCTGTACAGCGCTTGACCTGCCACTGTGGCAAATACTGCTTGTATACTGTTGTGACCTCAGTTCATTGTACTGGCATAATTATGGAGCTGGTACTTTTCATAATCTAAATTTTCCAGTTTGTCTCGGTTTTACTGCTTTGTTGGCCAGTGGGGCACGATAGGAGTCACACTAGGCACACAGCTATCTTCAATAGCCAAACAATGTGGCAAAGAAAGGAGAGCAAAAAGTTGACTGAAGAAGACAAGGGGATGACTCGGAAATGCTGTGACACACTTAGGGAGGCGACACTCTTTTCTATCTTTAAAATGTACGACAAAGCAAACACTGAAACTAAAATGTTTGACAAAGCAAACACTGAAACAAAAATGTTGGACAAAGCAAACACTGAAGCGCACAGCCTGCCAGGCAACCCTGCAAAGCACTCAAACAGTTTTTCTTCCCTCTTTTCCAACAAAGCTGCAACGCTATGGAATTGCCTACCGCCTTCTCTTACCTCTATAACCAGCCTCCGCGAATTCAAGCATTCTCTCTATCAGCAAGTTCGCCGATATATTCATTACGCTGATGTTATCTCCACTCCTTAATTACCAGATTTTGTACGCCTCGATATAATTCCTTAGCCTATCCTCGATTAACTGCTCCCTCTGCGTAAAGTTGTCACTTCATTCTTCTAGCAGGTGATCCCTTCGACAGGCCCAAAGCCTTTGGAAAATCCCTAAATTAAATTAAATACAAAAATTAATACAAACAGTAGCTAGGTGAAAAGAGCTGCATAAAAAGAAAGTTGTTTGTTTCGCACTTTTATGTACTCGTTAACTCGTGATCACCGTGCCCGTGGGCAAGCGACTCACTTGCACGTGTCAGCCACTTGGATGCACTTTTATCAATCACAGGTGAGATACCATAGCAGCTGCCTGGTGCACTTGGATATGCATGTCCTGTGATTCGTATAATATACTTCGAGTTTAAGATTCCTAACATTCTCATTTATACCGTAACCGCACTTTCTTCTTGTTTTCAGTCGATCTAAACAAAGGTCTTGTTTTCAGGAGCACTGTTTCTCCCTTTCTTCAGAATTGTTTCCCCAGTGGTAATTTCCAAATTCGCAGCTATTTGACAATGTTCTTGTACTTGGGTGTATTCACCTGTCTTCTCTCCCAGGAAGGACAACTCGCAAGTCCGAAACATTGTGCGGAGATTGGAAAGTTCTCGAGCACACCAAGACTTTCGAAAAGCTAACGTACGATAATGCCCGGGATGCATGCCGCAAGAACGTCGGGTTTTTCCTGCCAAGCGAGGCACTATGGAATAATGTATTGATGCAAATGAAGACTGGCAATGCTGAATGCAGAGGACTTGCCGCAATATTGGACAAAATCCCTCTCTGGTTCACAAGGCATGGGAAAGAAAGAGGTTTTGCGTTGTTTTCATCGGTTTGTGTGGGTAAGTGGAAGTCGAATCATGCATATCCTGTGTGCGTGGGGGGGGGGCAGTGCGGGGGATGTATGTGTGTGTGTGTGGGGGGGGGGGGGGGGGGGGGAGGGGAGGGGGGGGGAGTGTGTGTGTGTGTGTGTGTGTGTGTGTATGTGCCAACCTGTTGTCAGGCTACCTTCTTGCCAAAGCATTTGAAAGTTGGACTAGTTACGGCTCCACAATCCAGTGTGCCGTTACTATAATAGCTTTCATGGCGGAGGTTGTTGGTATGTCTCTTGGCTCTGGGTTCCCAGTACTCGGTAGCCGAGGCTGGTTGGTAATATAACTCCAATTTCACTTCAAAGTACTCTCTCATCCACACAAGTGCATCTAGCATCTGCTTCTATCAAAGCAGCGTGCTGTCTATACTGGTTACCCCAGCAAGTGTAGGGTGTGCATAGATACCTGTCTTGGCCATTCTATTCCGATGTACTCCGTTTGGTGTAGACCAGGTGTGCATTGGGGGGTCGATTCGCCATTTGTGTGGATTAGACAGTTATCTGGTGCTTGTATTGATCTGTTTCAATCAGAATCAGATCCGCTACCGTTGCTTATAATTATAGAGAAAAAGCTGTGGGTGCACATCCAGTGCATTTGCAGATTTGCATTCTTGTCTTGCAACGAGTGTACACAGTAGTGCTTCGAACGTGTAGTTGTTTGAGCTGCTCTCATGGTAACTTATTCGTATTTTTGAAACCCTTTGTAACCGCGAACATGTGCTTCTACAACTGCGCTGTGCTGTGTGACTGAGCTATGACTATGACTATGACTATGAGTCATGCTCGCACTATGATGCCTTTTGTGTCACATGCACGTGTATGTCGTGGCGCAAGCGCGCTGTGCCTTTGCGGGCCCTTTTTTGCTTCCTTTTGCAGTTTTTGGTTTTAGAGTTATGCCGGTTATGGTTGAAGTGTGTTTGCAAGGAGAAATCAAGAACGTCGAGTAATGATGTGTTGTCCCATTTGCGTTCGGAGAGTGTGCCTGTGCACGTGTATCGGAATTTGAACTCTTGCCTGGAACATTTGGTCCTTCGAGCCTTACTTCGACTCAACCTTGTAGCTTCAGTACAGTCTTCTTTCGTAGTGTTGTTTGTAATTGTCAATTTTAGTCACGCCGCAGTTTCAGTAACTGTCAGTCTAGTAGTAGTGTAATAATGTCTTATCAGGTGCTGCGTGCGTCGTCCAGCTCTGCAACTCGCCGGCGACTGCTTCGAGCGCAGGCTCAGCTAGAAGCAGCGAAGAAAATTCAGGTGCTCGAGGAGCAGGAGCTGGCCCGCAAAAAGATGCTGGTCGATTTGGAACTAAAAGTTGTGCTGGCAGAAATCGCAGACGCCAGCAGCAGAGCAGGCAGCTCAGTCCTCAGTGGACTTACCGGTAGTAGTAGGAGCCTGGCACTCAAGCCAGCCCATGCCACTGTTGTCGATAGCAGTAAAGTGGAACGCGTAGTAGAGCGGGTGAGGACCGAAGACGTCTCCTACAGGCGCCCAGTGCTGACACAGCACAGTCCGCCTGTGCTGCTGTGGAGAGTGCCTCTTGTACCCGGGAGCTGTTTGCGCAGCACAGGGCACCGCCAGGCATTCTGCACCCTGCGGAGCACAGGGCACCGCCAGGCATTCTGCACCCTGCGGAGCACACATGTAATGTAGCCGCCCCTTCAGGCAGCGCTCCCCCGCAGCCGGTCAGCCATCAGGTCACATTTGCAGCTGGCCAGCCTGGTTCTCAGTATGTAGCGCCTCCTGCGGTACGCCAGTCAGCACCAGCTCCGGCTGTAGGCCAGTCAGCGCCAGGTCCAGTAACCCGCTTGAACGCGGAGGCAGCCGCATTCATGACTGTACCCATGACGAGCCTCGGTGATTCGCCAGGTGCTAGGGAGCTGCAACCCCGACAACAGCTAGATCGTGCGTGGTCCGAGCTGGTCATGAATGAACAAGTGCTGCACCAGACATTGGGTCAGGTCCCACAAGCCAATCCGCCGACTGCGCGTGCACCACCTGCACCACCTGACGTGGTGAATCCGAATAAACCCGGAAAGCTGAGATTGGTCTTTGACGCGGTGGCAAAGACAGGTGGGAGGAGCCTTAATGATGCGCTGCTGTCTGGGCCAGACCTGCTCCGTCCACTGCCATTGTTTCTGTTCGGCTTCCGGGAGCGCCGTATTGCGTTCGGTGTCGACATTGCCGAAATGTTCCACCAGGTTCAGATCCGTGAAGCTGACCGAGACAGCCAACGGTTCCTGTGGCGGACCGATCTGACCACCTGACGTCTTCAGGATGAAGTCAATGACATTTGGCGCGACATCGTCCCCTTCGTCGGCAATGTTCGTCAAGAACCACAATGCTCACAGCCACTCGCAGACGCCGCCTCGGCTGCAGGCTGCCATAGTCGAGCGTCACTACATGGACAACTATTTCGACTCCACAGACACCGTTGAAGAAGCCACCGCGCTGTCTGCTGACGTCATCCGCATCCACAAGGACGGAGGCTTCGTCATCCGCCATTGGATCCACAACTCGCCAGCCGTTCTGGCATCTGTATCAGCTAGCTGGCCATCCGCCGCTCCCAAAGTGGAGCCAGAGGACACGGACCCCGAGCTGAAGCGAGAGTTCTGTGGGGCCACTGTCGCCACGACGTCCCTGCAGGAAGCGCTCCCCGATATCGCCAGGTTTTCGTCATGGATGCGTCTGGTTCGCACCACAGCCTGGGTGACCTGCTTCGTTGAGCGCCTGAAGGCTAGAGTTGCCAAGAAAGCCGTGAATCCCAGTAGCGAACTGTTGCCATCAGAGTTCCGACACGCCCAGCAGCTCTGGTGGGAGAACGTGCAGCACCAGTCGTTCCCTGACGAACTCGCCGCGCTGCAGCAGGGCAAGCCAGTCACCCGCAGAAGCCGCCTGGCATCGCTGACGCTGACCCTATTGGACAGCACCATAGTGGTTCACGGGAGAACAGACAACGCGCCTCACTTGCCTGAGTCTACAAAGCGTCCAGTGTTACTCGACCCTTACCACTGCTACACCCGATTACTCATCCTGCAGCACCACGTCGGGGCAGGTCATCAAGGGCAGGAACAAGTTCGGAACGATTTACGCCAGCAGTACTGGATTCCCAGATCTCGAGCCGCTGTTCGCCGTGCCTGGAACTCCTGTTTGAGGTGCCGTCACCTCGCAGCCACACCGCAGCCACCGGTAATGGCGCCGCTACCGGAGTGCAGAACCGCAGCGTACGAGCGCCCGTTCTCCCACACGGGAGTTGACTACTTTGGTCCAATTGAGGTGACTGTCGGGCGTCGACGCGAGAAACGATACGGCGTTCTATTCACGTGTTTGACTGTTCGAGCCGTGCACCTGGAAATAGCCTCGAGCCTGACAACCGACTCGTGTATCATGGCTATCCGCCGCATGATCGCTCGGCGCGGATACCCTGCTGTACTGTATTCGGACAATGGCACGAATTTCAAAGGAGCTGAACGGGAGCTTGCAGAGGCGATTGCAGCGCTAGATGTCGGTGACCTCATGCGTGAGCTGACGCCCAGAAACATCAAGTGGGTCTTCAACCCTCCTGCCGCGTCCCACATGGGTGGCGCTTGGGAGCGCTTAGTGCGCTCAGTAAAGATCGCCCTGAAAGCGACTCTCAAGGAACGGACGCCACGTGACGAGGTGCTGACCACCGTCATGGCCGAGGCCGAGTGCATCGTAAATGGCCGGCCACTGACACACGTTTCTATCGACCATGCTGATGCTGAGAGTCTGACGCCGAATCACTTCTTACTCGGCGGCAACCACCGAGCTGTTGCGCCAGGGAAGTTTTATGAGAAGTGCCCGAGGAAGCAGTGGTGGATTTCCCAGGCCATGATCGATATGTTCTGGCAGCGCTGGGTCCGAGAGTATCTCCCCACGCTAACGCACCGGACCAAGTGGTTCAAGGCGGCAGAACCGATCAAGGTTAACGATGTTGTCGTCATTGCTGATCCACAGTTGGCCCGAAGCTGCTGACCGAAGAGCATCGTGGAGAATGTGTACCCCGGAAAGGATGGCAAGATCCGCATTGTGGACGTCCGCACAGCGATGGGAATGTTCCGTCGCCCAGTGTCGCGCATCTGCGTGCTTGATGTCCGTACATAAGTCATGTGTTGGCTAACTTCATCCGTTAGCAGGTGGGAGAATGTTGTCGCCACTCGCCTGTTCAGTAAATGTTTCAAGACAGCCTCTTGAATAATTCACTTTTTGACCTTACCTTGTCTGTTTATTTATTCATCTTCCTCTGAGTCACGTTGGTGCGAGCGCGCACGTGGAGATGCTCCAGCTTACAGCCATGTCGTCTGTTCCGTTATTACGAGTGTACATGCTATTGTTCTGCTGACACTGATAATTCTCTCCTTCTGTCTATTCGCTTTCTATTCTCCTTCTCCGTCTCTCTTCTATTCTGTTTCTGCTTCGAACGTGTAGTTGTTTGAGCTGCTCTCATGGTAACTCATTTGTATTTTTGAAACCCTTTGTACCCGCGATCATGCGCTTGTACAACTGCGCTGTGCTGCATGACTGAGCTATGACTATGGCTATGAGTCATGCTCGCACTATGGTGCCTTTTGTGTCACGTGTCCGTGTATGTCGTGGCGCAAGCGCGCTGTGCCTTTGCTGGCCCTTTTTTGCTTACTTTTGCAGTTTTTGGTTTTAGAGTTATGCCGGTTATGGTTGAAGTGTGTTTGCAAGGAGAGATCCAGAACGTCTAGTAATGGTGTGTTGTCCCATTTGCGTTCGGAGAGTGTGCCTGTGCACGTGTATCGGAATTTGAACTTTTGCCTGGAACATACATGGTACATGGTGTGTGTGAGGGAGGGAGAGAGAGAGAGAGAGAGAGAGAGAGAGAGATAGATAGATAGATAGATAGATAGATAGATAGATAGAGAGAGAGAGGGGGGAGAGAGAGAGAGAGAGAGAGAGAGAGAGAAAGAGAGAGATAGATAGAGAGGGAGAGAGAGAGAGAGAGAGAGAGAGAGAGAGAGAGAGAGAGAAAGAGAGAGAGAGAGAGAGAGAGAGAGAGAGGGAGAGAGTAAGTTACATTTATAAAGACAGGTAAGTCTAACAAATGAGGACTGAGACCTCTACAACAGGGTTTTTACGCCTGAAAGCAGGTGCATGATTTAACAAGCAGGTTGTCAGTCTAGATTTTATGCGCAGATGGAGAAAAAGCGCAGAATTTTTGTAATGAGATGAAAAGCAGAAATAATAAGAAATAATAAGAAAAGATGAAATGAAAGCCTGCTCACAACCCCGCCCAGCCTTGCGAACTGGGTATGGTGGATTAAGAACCCGGTTCAACGCTCGAGCAAGCGCTCTCCACTCAAGGTGTTCACAGCAACTGATAGGAACTTATATGGGGAAATTATAGAAAAGAAATAATAAGATAAAGAGAATAACTTTCAACGCACCTCAATAAACGGAGCCCCACATACAGTACCTCAGAAAAGTGGATCTTCTGACCAGTGTTTTTGTTGACGCCGCAACCAGATGATGTAGCTGCTTCGCAGAGACGTCTTACTGCACAAATTACAAATAAATTTTATTCTTCGATTAGAAAATCCAAGCGCTTTCAGAGCCCTCCGAAGAGAGTCCGGGATGAAACCACGCACACCTACCTCAACCGAAAAAGAAACGACCTGCCACCCGTTTGCTCGGCATTGATCGGCCAGATCCGCATACCGCCTGTCCTTCCGCGAGTTACTGACACTGAATCTGTCCTCAGCACAAACTGTCAACTCCATCCAGAATACAATCCTACGACTCGTAGAGTACAGAACTATATCTGGTCTTAGGGTGGTAAGTGCAACACAGCTAGGGAAAGAAATCTTTGCACTAACTGAGTCGACAAGAAGTTTCCAGTCTGATGCCGCTGACAGGAGATCAGTCGTAACCAACTTTCGTCTGGGCTGAACGCGAACTGGCTTCTCTCCCGCCTTGCAAAACGAGATAAAGTCAAGCTCATTTGAATTTTCGGTTTGTACGGTGTTTGCAGCAGTGCGGATTCGAATCTCCTCACGCATGTTCCTGACGATGACCCCGAGTACGTCGTCGTGCCTCCAGGTGTAACGTCCCTGGTCCAGCGCTACGCGACAAGCGCCAAGCACGTGGCGCGTAGTACAGGCCCAGGTACGGCACAAACTACAGTACGGATCCACTACGGTGTTTCCCCAACGGCGTAGGTTCGTCGGAGAAGGTAGCACGTCGAGGGTTGATGCGAGAAGAAATTTCAAATCCTTACCAGTACCACCGTACAAAAGGGATTTCCACGAGAGGTCCTGCCACATCACCGATGTCCACTCCAACCACTTGCCTTGCACCTGAAGAGTCTTCAGCCTCAAAATCTGCTCCTGCGTGTTGATCTCCTCAAATGTTTGAAGGAGATCCTTCCTCGGGGGTTGGAATGCTGCTTCGGAGCACGAGCACCCAACCCTGCACGATGACTTGAAGATGACGGTACTGATGCCTCTGCACACTCCAGCTCTATTGTCGCCGCATATCGCTTTGTCAGCTTCGCATCCTTACTCCGACGCAGAGTGTACAGCGCCCTCATGCGCGCGTCCCCACTCGATCGAAGAATGTGCCATTTGATGGACTGGCACTTTTTCCACACCATAGGAAGGTAGTGGAGGCGTAAGCCAAAGCGTTTGCGACTGCCAATAAAAAGAATGGAAGAGTTTGCGCATCGAGGTAGGCCTGACCATTTCTTCAGAAATGGTAAACACATAAAGTGCACTTCACGTACAAAACCTTGTGTGAGTTCAAGAACCTGGAAAGACCAAGAAAGCTTGGGCACTACAAGATGGTGGTAAAGCCATAGCTTGTGGTGGTCTTGAAGCCAAGAGCCATCTACTTTTTGCATGAGAGATACAGTGAGTTGACGGATGTCTTCCCGCTGGGTCTGCTCAGAGCAATCAGCATGCAGCCTTCGCCCCAGGAACTTGAACTCTGCAGTGTCAATGAAAGCGATCTTCCTCCCTGACATTGTCAGGCAGGGATCGTAAGGTTTGTACTGGCCATCTACAAGCTTTGCTGCACTGCTTTTGCATTTGTGCAGCGCCGCCTGCATACATTGGGTCCACGAGAGAAAGTCCTCCGTGACCGCAATGAGTTTTTGACAACCTGCACTAGATTTGCTATAGAGGTCTAAGTCTTCAGCAAAAGCTGTTTGGGACACTTGCAAAGGGGCAGATTTAAAATCATAGGAGAGGCAACTTAATTCAGGGGCTGCAAGTCAGTCCAGCAGAAGCTGGAAACAAATATTGAAAAGGACCGGGGACAAGGGGCACCCCTGGAAAACACCAATGTTGTAATTAAAGGTGGGGGTGTGTGGTTGTACGACGAAAGCGCAAAGACTGTTGTAGTAGGAAAAAATTAATTTCCTGAATTGCAAAGGAAGGCTGTAGTGAGAGCATACTGTATCAGATTGTGGCGCACTGACCCAAATGCATTCTTCAAATCTATCCACGCAATGCAAATTTGGCGTTTTGCCGTCTTTGTATTTTATGTATTTATTCAACATCTCTTGGCCCGTCCGAAGACTGCCAATAAACATGAGAGGTCAGGTGATAGCCAACCACGGCAAGCTAAAAAGGGAAAAAAAAGAAAGATGCTGTCAGAGAGGGAAAGGAGATAGTGAGAGAAAAAGAAAGGGAGGCACATTAATAATACATGGGATCACTTCGGATGAGACAGTGTGGAAAGCTGGACTGTGAATTTCCTGATATCCTGGCATGTCTTAATGCTAGTAGGCAGGTTAGACCAAAGGGAGTATGCTGAGAAGAAAGGGGATTTCAAAAACAGAGAGGAACTAGCTCGGGGCAGTGATAAGGCATTTTGTGTTGGTCTAGTGGTAACAAACCAGTTGTACTTGGCAATATGTTTCGGGACTTGGGCTAGGAAGATTTTTTGCACAAGGATACAAAGATGCTGCTGATGTCGGGCAAGAAGAGGGTGCGTGGAAGCAAGTTTATAAAGACAAAGGGAGGCAAATGTTTGGTCTTTTCGAAACAGAATTTTCAGAAGCAAGCGTTGATGTACCTCCAGTCTGTGGAGTAAAGTCTGAGACAACCCGCACCAAGCTATATCGCAATAGTCAAATATAGGCAAAATGTACGACTTAAAGAACAATTCTCTGCAGTTATCATTCAAGTGTTGGCAGTGGGGTTGTAGCATACCTAAGGACGCACTCGCACGCTTGCACACAGACTGGACTTGTGGAGACCAGGAGAGTTGGCGGTCGAGAATAACGCCCAGGTGCTTGTGCTCGTTAACAACTTTAATAGGTGTACTATTTAGACCAGGAAAATACAGAAGTTGAGTGGGGGGCGAGGGAGAGAAGAACATGGCCTCGGTTTTGGCGAGGTTAGGCTTCAGTTTCCAGGTTTCCATCCATGTTACTGTAGCGTTGACCCCGGACTGCATGGAGGCCGTGAGGTTGTCTGCCGAGCTGTCGGAGCACATCAGAGCAGTGTCGTCAGCAAAAAGACTTACTTTGCATCACGCATCGCCTCATAACAAAGTGATGTATGCTCTAAGCACCCAGCCTTTGCAGGCATAAATCCTTTCTGGTTGTCACCATCGAAGAACTTATTGCCTAGCATATGTTTCAAGAGGCGCTTTGCAACTAAGGTGAAAAAGATCTTCCCGGACGTGTTCGCTAGAGCAATCGATCGGAATTTCAAAGGATCATCAGACACCTCCCCCTTGGCCAGGAGTGTGATACACGCTACCTGCCACTGCCTTGGAATGATCTTGCTCTCCCAAACCCGCCCAAAGATGGTGAAAAGAATGGATTGAAGGGAGGGACAAAGCTTCCAAACTATGTAAGGTATCTTGTCAGGACGAGAGTGAGAAAGAGAGAGATTGATAGATAGAGAGAAAGAGAGAGAGAGAGAAAAAGAGGGAGAGAGAGATAGGGAGAGAGAGAGAGATAGGGGGAGAGAGAGAGAGATAGGGAGAGAGAGAGAGAGAGA